AACCATTTTCATTTTATACATAGAGTGCACCTATTAAGACAAATAGAAAAAATTTCATGCAGAAAAAATACTTCTAACTATTTTTAAAAAATTTTTAAACTTTGAAACGGGTCAAAGTTTAACAACATAACAGGAGGGTAAAGTACAGAGATGGAAAAGGAAACTTTAGCCAATCTAACTCTAAGCTTCAACAAAAAGGACATTTTAAGCCTACAATAAAGTAGACAGGGTGTCTGCTTCCCAAACTAACACTGGGATCTGGTTGCACAGGAGAGGAGCCTGCAAACCAAAAGATTAGCTCTCAATTCTACTTACAGAAATCCTTTGCACCACCAGTTAGCCTGCAGTGTGAGGTCCTACAGTGTTCCTCTCAGCAGGGCCTGGGGGCTTCCTGGTAGGCCAGTCACCAGGAGTTATAACGTGATCCCATCTGCTGGCTTCGGGAAGTCTCCTCTATCTATTCTGGGCGAAGTTTAAATATTAAAAAGCACCTATTTTTTATTGTTTACCTGCTTAAATTATTGTTTTCTCTCCCAAGATGGAGATGTAGGCGGTTAGCTATTTGTTATTGTAGATTGGCCTGTGCTTTACTGCAGAAATCAAAACCCTTATGTTGGATTCAAAATAAGCCAAAAAGCCTTGGAAATATTTGAGATGGACAAAGTTTTGTATTTTTACAAATTCATGTTGAAAATGTAAAAAGTCAGATGTAGCAAAGCGGCTCAGTTTTCTTCTGCATCAAAGAGTCTTCAGTCTTGGAGCTTTGGAGAGCAGGAGGCTGCAGTTCAACACCACCTTTCTGAACATACAAACTACGACTGAAGCATAACAGCGTTGTTGAACTAGTCTTCATTAATATTTTAGTTTTCAACCTTAATCTTCCAACGTTCAGTTATGTTGTGACTGAACTTATGCAAAGTGACCTCCATAAGATCATTGTATCACCACAGCCTCTGAGCTCAGATCATGCCAAAGTTTTTCTGTATCAGATTCTTCGGGGTAAGTGCTTATTTTATTTCTTTTTCTTTTTTTTATCATCTTGGTATTCTTACAGCAGTAGGGTTAAGAGGGAATTTACTGAAACAAGAAATGGGATAAATCCTGCTGCAACACACCAAAAAAACCCCAGTAACTTTGGATTCCAAAAATTAGAATATTGTGAAACGTTGAATCTTTTTGTCACCATTTTCATAAAGTGAAACTCCTTTTATGATCTGTTAGTGAAACATTTTAAGCCTTTATTTCTTGTAATTTTTTGATTATGGCTTACAGATAATGAAAACCCAAAATTCAGTATCTCTAAAAATTAAGATTAAGTTGTGTAAGAGTTAAATATTGGATACATTGTGTTCCCAGATGGAATGCTGCTGCTTGTTTTGACTATGGATTGCTGCTGCTTTCCGCTGGGTGAAGGGTTTGAAGAGGCAGTCCTCCACAAGGCTGGCCAGTTTGTGTCGTCTCAGTGTGACGTTCGCTCCGTTAAATGTATTCCATGAGTTGGGGAAAGGGATTTGTCCTTTGGCTTAGCACAGAGAGAGTTCCAGCTTCTCAACAGTTCATCAGACCTTTTACTGTTTTGAATCATCGGTAAAGTCTCGTTTCTAAATCCAGTTTTGACTTTCCCTCTCCAAGTCAATTAATCTTCATTTCCATCACTGCTAATTTCTGGAGTAGTCTGTCACAGTCCTTTGTGGGGACAAGAAATGTCTTGTACCTTTTCAGCTTGTAAGTGAGAAGATGAGGTAAAAATCCCTTGAGTCTATTAATTTCAAGCAATCCAGCTGTGAGGGCATAGAATATTAAAAATAACTACCAAAGCTAGTTATATAAAGTAACTTCCAAAATGCAAATCTAAAACCAAAAAGCTCCTCTTTCACAGGCAAGCAGGTGAAATGGGGTTCCATGTCTTCTGTGAATGTTGGTCAACTGGGTTTTCTGAAGTCAACAGTCATCTGCCAGGGCACTTCATGCATCCTTGTGCTAACAAACTGCATGATGATTTCATTCTTCATAAGGATCCGACAGAGTGGCCAGTGGCATCTGGCCACTCTGTCTATGGTACTTAAATGAACCATAGTGCCTATGATGAGGTTCAGCAGCCCTTCCTCAGCCGAACCTCACAGAATTTCTCTATGAGCTGTTAAGAGGAAGAGGAAGATGAGTTAGAGGTCACTATCAAAGCCATTCCACCTCCTCGGAGCCACAGGCTGATCAGCTCCGTGTCACTCCACACTGATGCAGTAATTCATACAAAAGAAGCTCCAACCAAGTACTGAGTTCAAAGAAATGAAGCCTCAAATTTCCATATGAGATATAGATCTCTATTGATCTTATGCAATAATCTAATCATTTCTGAGGCACAGAATTTTGGTGTCATTATCTGTAAACCACAATAGTTAAAATTACCAAAAATATAATTTAATTTTATTTCACTATGTGTAATGAATTCATATTTGAGCTTCACTTAATTTTCTTTGTTGGAGCCTTTATTAAAAAATATTACAATGTATAATGTATTTTTTTAGAAGATGTGTAGGAAGACTTCACATCTTAGGGTTAGGGTTAGTACTGATACTACTAACAGTATGATGTAGATGATCCGGTGCTGAGCTTCTATCAACTAACTGTAAAAGTCGAGGCTTTCAAACTAGTCGGTGAAGGACTGGAGTTACTTATTTGGATGATTCCAGAACTGTTTTTATCTACTAAATGTTTTTGATTTGTTACCTGCAGGACTTAAATACTTACACTCTGCTGGAATTCTGCACCGAGATATCAAACCTGGCAACCTCCTGGTCAACAGCAACTGTGTGCTCAAGGTGTGTGAAAAAGGTTGTGTTGCTACCATTTATGTCATCAGATGCATTTATGCTGTAGGTCTACATTTATAGCAAGTGTTTGGTCAATATTCCCAAAAGAAATAAAGTAGTTTGTTTCTGCTTAACTTTCATTCTGTGTTGTCAGAAGTTTTTAAAAATGTTTACCATTTGTCTGTGTCAGTTTGTGTTTGATGATGTAGCATTAATTCTCCTCCGAATCATAAACGGCTTCATATCTTTGAGCTTTAAGACAGAAAAATGGCACCATACTTCCATCATAAAGCGTGTTTAGAAATTGTAATAGATGCTTCACAAAAGTTTAATTTGACAATGGATTTGTCAAATTCAACAGCTAACTTCAATCTGATTTGCTTGTCTGGAAGAACATGATCTAAAACAAAGAAATAAAAATGCAACCTTCTGTTGCATTTTAGAAAATGTCAAAGCTTCAATGCTCGCTGGGTTTGTAGTTCTGTCAGAAACTCTTTTGAAATGATCGAACTTGAAGAGTCAGAGGCTGTCATGATGCAGAGTGAGAAACATGGGCTTATTTAGAGAAACTGTAGGGCACAGAGATAGAAAATCATATCTGGATGATAGCTGTTCATTCCTAATAAATAAATTGGGTGAAGAAATTGTCTGCATAATAAAACACAATATCAGCAAGAATTGGGGAAAAAAAAAGAACAGATAATTTCTTCAAAATTGAACTAGTAATAGTGGATCTGTTTGTTCCATCTTCAACTTGGTGGCATGTGAAGAACAAAGACTTTTTGCTCCCAGTAAACGAAGCCTGAAGGTCCTGGGAGCATAAACAGCACTACGAATATAAATTAAAAAGAGTGGTTAATGGTAACATTTCTGTGGATGTGTTTAGATCTGTGATTTTGGGCTCGCCCGTGTGGAGGAGTTGGATGAGTCCCGGCACATGACTCAGGAAGTGGTGACGCAGTACTACAGAGCACCAGAGATCCTTATGGGCAGCCGGCACTACTCCAACTCCATCGATATTTGGTCTGTGGGCTGCATCTTTGCAGAGCTGCTGGGTCGGCGTATCCTCTTCCAAGCTCAAAGTCCCATTCAGCAGGTAACTTCTTCCTCTGCCAACTACAGCTTTTGGGATCATAATGAAGAATAAGAACAGAGCCACATGCCTATGTGTGAGTGAAGCTTGGAAGCTGCTATATTTTTCACACTCACTTTACTCTCAGTCTTTTGCCAGCCACTGATTAAAGAGGTGTTCTTGGAGACAAGCGGTCCATGATGACACACATTTGGAGGCATTTCTAAAGTGGATTTTTCTGTGTTTAGCTGGATTTAATCACTGACCTACTGGGGACGCCTTCTATGGAGGCAATGAGGACGGCATGTGAAGGCGCACGGGCGCACATTCTCAGAGGAACTCATAAGCAGGTAATCAGTCTGGAGTTTGAATGAAAAAAAAACATCATGTGGGCCATCATTGCATTAGGAAAAGAAACCCATAATGCACTGGGGTAGTGGCCAGCAGGTTCTTTGGCCTCTATGTCCCTTGCTTTTATTTTAGATCTTTGTTAATTTGTATTTTCACTGATTGTACAGTATTGAGGTCATGACATTATAGAAGTTCTCAAACTGGAACGGTATCCAGAACTCCTTTATTATTGTGAGTTTCTTTGAAAATCCTTGAAAATTTTTATCTAAAAATGTATTAATTTGTTAGATTTAAATTTAAAGGTGTTAGGTGAAATACTTCTTTAGCTATAAGGTTTTCAAGTAATCATATAGTTCCTATTGCAGTATATCAAACTAATTCTGTCTTCAGGAAGCATGGCGCAACTTTTTTTGTTGTTTATTCAAGAGTCACTGAACTGGTTCTCCTTTCAATGTGTTTGTTCCTACAGCCATCCCTTCCTGTTCTGTACACACTGTCTAGCCAGGCAACCCATGAAGCAGTTCATCTGTTATGCAGGATGCTGGTGTTTGATCCAGTAAGTCATTATATGTTCAAATGTTTTCACTGAGTCCATGGTTTCCTCTAGGATTTTTAGAAATGGTGGAGGTGGTGGGCTGTACAAAACAACAAAAGATTATCAATTTAATCATGAAGCATAAATTAATGTTTTCTTTTTTTCTTTTTTTTTTACAAAATGGTAAGCATACTGTCTACATGCTTTATTTAGAATTTTCCAAGCAGAGCGATGAACATCAGAGTAAAGCCTCCCTGCATACATTTTCACTCACCTCAAAGAATCTTGAGGAAAATAATCCAACGTACTGCTTTCATTGCTTCATTTTTTTAGGGGTGATTGTTTCAGTCTTATTGCGTCATTGGTTGAGGCTGATCATGTGAAAGCTGAGGGATTAACTCTCAGCTTTCACGTGAAGCAAAGAGCTTGTCGGTGATCTGAAGCCCATTAGTAACACTACATCATAATGGAGGTGAATTTTCCAGCCTATGCTGTAAAAGTTATGCAAACTTCAGTTTTCCTGTGTATCTGAGTCAGGGGTTGTTACTGCAGTTCTTATCTGGACCCCGACCAGATGAGAACGCCACACAGTCCTTTATTCACATGTTTGTTCCCAACAAGTTTCTTCTTCCTCTGTGGCTTTCAAGCCTTTTTATTAAGAGAGGAGGACCATTCCTTAAATTGTCAAGGTGAACAGCACTCTCTCAGAAAATGCAAGTCCTTCAAAAGCTAATGTCTACAATGAAATTCAACTAAGCAGCTTTTCAGACTATCTATCTCTTGCATTTGATTTGTAGTCTAAGAGGATTTCTGCCAAGGACGCTTTGGCTCACCCTTACCTAGACGAGGGTCGACTGCGCTACCACACGTGTATGTGCAAATGCTGCTACACCACATCCTCCGGCCGAGTTTACACCAGTGACTTTGAACCAGTCACAAACTCCAAGTTTGATGATGGTTTTGAGAAAAACCTGACCTCTGTGAGGCAGGTCAAAGGTAAGCTTTCTCTGCTCTTAGCAGTCTGATATTTTGGTGGCATTGGACAGCATGATATATAAACATTTGTTGGGCAGATGAAAAACTGTGCAATATAATAAAACATAAGAAAATGTGCAAAAATGTTCTTGTTTTAGACTAAATGGCACAAATGATCATTTTTATTTGATTTGAAATGCAAGTGAAGGAATTTGAAACGGGAGCATGAATTTGGATAAATGAAAAGTTGTTTTTTTTCCCACATAGAGATCATCCATCAGTTCATTTTGGAACAACAGAAGGGGAGTCGGGTGCCGCTCTGCATTAACCCTCAATCAGCTGCTTTCAAAAGCTTCATAAGGTAAGGAGACATGTTCTCACTACATACAATCATCAGGTGATGTTCAAAACAAGGGCCTTTTTTAGAGTTCATGGTCTTTCGCTCTTTTAAACAAGCCAAACAAACTGTGTATATGCTTAAAGTATCATGAACTATCTGTCAAAAAAGGGAGCTCACCTGTTTGCTTCAGTAATGCCCATAAGAGAAATTGTGATCCCTGAAATGTAGAAGTGTCTAGTGTATTTTCATTTTATCTGCAGGTGTACCTAGAGATTTTATCATTTAGAAAACTTATTGCTGTATATTTCTTCCATCACAGGATGTGTTCTGCTTCCCTTTGAAAAAGTTTCCAATTTAAAGCGCTTGTACGCGTCACCTGCTCCAGATTGAAACCTCTGATGTGCTCAAACTTCCTGTAGGCTTCCAGTTTGTTCAACATGATAAAGTAGTGGCAGCACAACAATCCAAATCATTAGTAGTAACTATCAAACCTCCTGACTTCAGAATAATAGTCTTGACTTTGACATCAGTCCCTTCTTGTCAGTTCTCTTGTCTTTTGCTCAGAAACTTCCCTCTAGAGCAGGGGTGGCAATCCTGGTCCTCGAGGGCCAGTGTCCTGCAACTCTCAGATGTCTCCCTGGTCCAACACACTTGAATCCAGTAACTGAATCACATCCTCAGTGCAGTCAAGTTCTCCAGAGTCCTGCTAACGACCTCATTATTTGACTCAGGTGTGTTAAAGTAGAGATGCATCTAAAAGTTGCAGGAGACCCTCCAGGCCTGGAGTTGCCCACCGATGCTCTAGATCAGTGCTTCTCAAGGACCGACGTCTTTTTTTTATTTTTATTACATCTGCTTGAAAACATGCATATCCAAACTGCTTCATAATAAATCAAGCTGTGTTCTATAGCTGTAATCTTAGGTTTTTGCCAGTAGAGGGCAGTGTATGCTTTCTGGAACTTATAATAGCAGAAAGAGATGGAGCAGAAGATTACAGAAAGCAGAGCTGTCCTTAATGACTGCTGTACATACAGCTGCTACATCTGCTACTGTTATTCAGTGAAGTAACATTTTTCTTCATCCAGAGCTGTTGCAGTTTTACAGTTATCAAACATTTATTGTTTGGAAACTTGGTTAAATAACAGCAGGTATAGAAAGCTACCTAGCTAAACAAGTTTTAGTGATGTAATGTTTAGTAAAAAAAAAAATGCTGAATCATCAAAAATCACACCATATCAAACATCATGTTACTTTTTTTTTCAGGGTTTTTTTTGTCAAGATAGATGACTATATGAAGAGTCTTAACTAAATCTTCCTGCCTCTGCTTAAAAACGTAAAGGGGCAGTATTATGTCAAATTGACTTTTTTAGATTTATATCATGTTATAATGTTGTTTCCTCATCAGAAACATGTATTAAAAAGTATGCAGCTTTCACACTAAAAGCTGGTGCAGGGAAATATTTCACTAAAACTTTCACATGTATAAAACCATGTGCAGCTGCCACATAGACCGCCCTGACTCCACCTATAAATACATATGTAAATTTGAATAAATACCTTGTGACCGTGTCTGAATAACCATGGCAACAGTCCAGGTTGACTGTTATGGGCAATCTAGGTTAAACATCGACAAAGTGTTTAACCTGTCATCAGGTGTTTTCCCCCACCTCATTAAAACATGCTGTTATGGAACCAAAACTTAAAAAACCCAATAGATTTAAAGAACTATAGGCCCACCATCATGAAAAACAAAAATGTAAAGGAGTGTTGGGTGAAATACAAACACCCAACACCCACAAACAACCTCACATAAAATAAAATGTCCCCAGCTCCCAACGACACATTATGTCCAGACCTGTGGGTTAAAGCTAAAGTATTTTAAATCTTTCAATTTATAGGATGTGCAACAAAATATGGTGTCTAAATTCTGAGAATATCTTCCATTTCAACTGTCTAGTGGTATGTTTTGTTCTTTTAAACTGGTTTGGATCCAATTGCCTTCAACTGGTCTAATGAAGCCAAAAGCTCTCATTCAGTCGTGGGACAAAAATCTACTGAAGCAAGTTTGTTAGTAGGAACTCCAAGTTTGAAACATCTGTAAAGATTATAAATCTCATAAAGGGTGTCTTCAGCTTTTGCAGTGAGCAAAAGTGTTCACGCTCTTAATACATTTTCACATTTATCACATCTGAACCACTACAAACTACTATAAAACTCCAGTATATTTTATTTGTATTTTGTGTAATTCACAATCACTTGTCTATTTGACAATGGATAAAATATCATTTTGAAATGAAATGAAAGGGAAGCATGGCTTCATACATTATTTTATTTTTTCCAGTTCAAAATTTTAGAAGCTTGCCCTTTACTCTGACACTGATGAAGAAAATACCTTTTAAAAGACACCAGAAGCAGCATGTAACTTATGGTAACATGGGTTCATGTGGGACATTCAGGACAAATCTGAGACATGCCGTCCCTATTCTGGCCTTTGAGTGACGAGAAGAAAGTCTTTGATGAAAGAAAGCTGGAGCAAGTTCAATTTGCAATGACTTCAGTCTGAAGATGTGCAAAAACTTTAAGCTACGAACAGTGGTTCTATGATGGATCTGAATACCGTCCCAAACTTTTCAGATTTCAATTTCATAAAAAGGGAAATGATAATTGGTCTTCCACTTTACAGTTACAGACTGCTTTGTGTCGGTTTATCCCACATCCCAATGAAATACCTCAAAGTTAGTGGTTGTAAGCATTAAAAAGAAAAAGTCAGAGGTATGTACTGGATACTGCTGCTGCCCGTTGTACATTTACACTAAAATTAAATTGCTGTTATTCAGGTTTTGCCCTCTGAAATCTTTCTTGCTACACTGAAAAAACATATTGCTTCATGAAAAATTCTGATGTTCTGATATTTTATTTTTATGTAAATCTTGCCAAACAATCAAGGTAAAGTCGGCCCGTCATCTTCCGTCCACATGGAATTGTGTGGCCATCGACTCACTTGTTTTTAAGTGTCTATAATATTGATTTCAGTTCTATGAAGTCTCTGGTTGAAATATTGACATGAACTTTGTGTGTTAAATTATTACGACATGAATAATCATATTGTACTTAATCATATAGGCATTGCTATGAGCCAATAAACAAATGAGTACTCCCCATTGATTAATTTGTCGGCCTGCTTTTAAACAGCTCCACAGTAGCTCAACCCTCTGAAATGCCTCCGTCTCCGCTTGTGTGGGAATAGATGCTGCTGTGCACCATCGTTTTCCCCAGCTGACGCGTTGGAACCCGAAAGCACCTAATAATTACGTAGCATTTCACTGGAGTGAAGAACTTGCGGCTCTGATCTATTCAAGTGGACACATGGAGAAAACGACTGATACCTTTTGGATTTGAAATCTTGATGTACAAATGAATGGGACAGCAGCTTGATAGAACAAATGTTGAAGGTGTACTAATGTATTAGTTGCTAAGTAGACGATAAAATCTTTAGAAAACAAAGTACAGTTGTTGATGATCCTACCCAATACCTGCAAAGATGTATAGGTTTGTTTTTTTTTGCCAGATGTAAACTACTTGCATTTATTGCAAACCATACACTTTGGCATATTCCTGTTATTACATCAACCAGCAATGTTGCAATGGTTCTTTAGATCTCAAGTTGCTTCGTATCCAGACAATCAACTGTAAATGTGTCTGTAGAATGGACAGATACCCCAAGTTTTACAAAAAAACATGCTGTTTGAGAGATGTGAAAAATGTTTAAACTTTGGTTGTTGGAAGCATTTGTCTTTTCTTTTCTTTTCTTTTTTCTTTTTCCCTCATCAAATGTTTAATTTACCAAAGATTAGGAGCCTCGGGCAGGAATTATGCAGCAAAGTAATCAATGGGCCCTGTGTACAAACAGTACATGCTTTCTAAATGGGTGTTTGTCTGCACAGTTTTCACTTTATGCAAAAATGTAAAAGGATAAGCGTACATTTTATAGGAGGATGCTCCTGACGTTCCAAGTGGTTTCAGTTGAAGGAATTCTAAAGATTCTGCCATCGAACCTTCCTTGCATGATCACTTCCTTCAGTTTGGATGTCCCGGTTCTGTTTGGATGTCCCGGTTCTGATGGAGCAGTGGTTCCCAGCCTTTCGTCTCCCTCTCAGTCCTTTCACTCTCAACCCCAGTTGCTCCTGCTCTTGCATGTTAAAACAGAAGTTTCCATCCACAGCATAAAAGTGTGAAAGACAGTTATCACTGATTCTGAGTAAATGTACGGGAACTTGTGAATTTAAAGAAAGTTGCCAAAAAGACTGGCAATTAATAAATGGAAATAATTTATGTAATTCTAACTGATCTAACATGAGATTTTTGTTCTGATTTTAATTGAAAAAGCGAGGAAGAAATTATGTGTCTTTTTAATTGGTTTATGTAATTTGTTTTTTAAAAATACAACAATGTTTTAATTCAAGAAGTATTAATGCATTTAATCACTTTGCAGAATATTTAGCTGATCTTGGTTGCAATATTTGTGATGGAAAGTTAGACTTTTAAGTAAAGCTGCTAATGTCAGAGGTATGCTACTGAATAACATTCAACATGTGGAGTCTGTCTACATTTGCTGGACATTTGAATTGGGTCAGAAATACTCTAAGTAAAAAAACAAAAAATACAGCAGAACTTTTTCCAAACACTTTCAAAATTACTATAAGATTCACACACAGGGCTGCTTTGCTCTTGGGTCAGCAAGGATTTTGTTTCTTAGCCTGGTTTTGTGCTGAAACTTGCATGAACAGCGTATTTTGTACAGACCTTGGATCTAAATTTCTGGTCTCAGTGGAGACTTGATATGTTGGAAAGAGTATCTAACTTTATCAACTATTTCTTGCTCTTTTGTTTGTACATGTTCGTTTTTTAACTGTCATAGTCGACCACACCTCTATAAAGAGTTTCTTGTTTAAAAACGTAAAATATTCCCTGGGAAAGGTTCTGGGTCGGAACCACTGTGTTCCAGGATTTGAGTAGCTTTTCTTCAGCCAATCAGAGGTGGACTTGCTGCTGTGTTGTGGGTCATTGTCCTGCTGCAGAACCAGAGTTCGTTTCAGCTTCAGATGGTCGGACTTTCTCTTTCGGGATGTTTTGGTAAAACTCTGTTGATTCCAGCGAGTTTAAAAGATCCTGAAGCAGCAAAACAGCCTCAGAGCATCATACTACCACCACCATGCTCTACTGTTCTTTTTCTGAAATGCAGTGTTACTTGAACCAGTGTTACTTTAATACATCTGAAAAGAATTTAACTTTTTGTCTCATAACTCTACAGAATGTTTCAAAGACCATTCTTAATGTTCTTTTTGCCCAGCAGTGGTTTTCATTGGGGAACTCTGCCAGGCAGGCCCTTTTTGTCCAATCTCTTTTTTTCATGATGGAAGCATGACCTCTGACCTTATGTGTGGCAAGTGAGGCCTGCAGTTATTTGGATGTTGAGTGTTTTGTGACCTGTTGGGTTAGATGAGTGGCCGTTGTGCTCTTGGGGTAAATTTGGTCGGCTGGCCTCGTAGGAAGCCTCACCACTGTGTGGATAATGGATGACGGCTCTTGCTGTGGTTCACTGGAGTCCAAAAACTTTAAAAACTACTTTGTAACCCTTTTCAGACTGATTGATCTCAATTATTTTCTTTCTTATTGTTCCTGAATTTCTGTGGATCTCTGCATGATGTTTAGCCTTTGAGGATCATTTGATGTACTTCACTTTGTCAGGCAGTGAAGTACGATCAAAGTGATGCCTTGATTGAAACAATGATCCTGATTGAAACAGTGATGAATCATGTAAGTGGGTGGAATTCACACAGGGCCTTAAAGGTTTGGATTGTTTTCCCTTTCAAAACACATTTCAAGTGTTTTTTTTTTTTCTTTTCTTGTTTGTGTTGTCTTTGACTTATAATGAAATTAGTTTGATTTGAAGATGCAAAAAAAAAAAAGGAAATCAGGAAGGGCAAACACTTTGTCACACTACTGTGGAAAAGTGGTAAAAGAATTTCAGTGTCGATGTTTCACTTTGAATGAACATGATCGATCCTTTACCTGCCTGCCATGGAACAAATGCAGGAGCTAATGAGGAAGAGCTCAGCTGAGGAAGCAGAGCTGGAGCTCAGTGTTGCCGTAGCGCCCGACCCCACAGCAACGCTCATTCATTTGTCATTCGTCAACCAATCACAACACCTAGGTTTTTAAACAATGTCATTATTTTGTGTAAACCTTGTTGCCTTCCTGTTCCAGATGGCCCTGACAGCCTTGTCAATGCTTGATTAGAGAGCAGCTCAGTTTAATGTCTTGGTTCTTGAACCAATATGTCTAAAGTTCTGTGTTGGAGTGACCCACATAATTCGGTTTCTCAGATTTTTACAGGAAAAATAAAATCTAAGTGGTTTTTACTGTGGCTTCCATAGTCATTTAGGAAATTAGACTTTGACCCCCAGTGGAAATTCTGTTCCACTAACCAGCCCCTGCACTTCCATCACCAAGAAGACGATAACATTATGATCTTTGAGTTATAAATGGACTAGAGGAGTGAGATCTCCAACCTCTGTAGTTTGTAACTTTTAGGATTACTATGCAGCCTTAAATTGTGGATTTAGATTTTATCATTTGCAAAGTGACACTTAAAAAGGTGTGTGAAAATGTATAATTTTACAAATGTTTTAAAAGGCTATATATATATATATATATATACACACACACACAATTTACTATAAACCTATTCGTCATATACATTTATTGAAATCAACAATAACTTAAAATATTTAGAGTAAATATTTATATCTCTCATATATATATTTGTAGGTCAAAGACATATTCCATGTCTTATCAGTTAATTAAGTTTAGCACAGAAATATCTTATTCAGGGGATAATGGCGGTAGGAGTTCGCTCTGCAATCGGTCGATTGCTGGTTCAATTCCCGCTCCACCTGCCCTTGTCGTTTGTGTCCCTGAGCAGGACTCTGGTCTTGCTGTTGGGCTGATGGTGCAAAACTGCAGCCTTGCTTCTGTCAGAGTGCTGTCGCTACAATCCAGCAGCTTGTCATCTGACACTATTGGATATTAATCAGAATAACACTTGAAAAGTAACACTGGAAGTGTTTATGTATCTCCATAGAGCAAAAATATATGAACAATTGATGTTGTTAATGAAGTTTACTGTGTAACTCAATTTAACTCTAATCAGAGTTAAATCAACTCTGAAAAATGAACAATGATCAGTGTAACTTTAACACTGTACAGGACCACATGCTCCCTGACTCAGTGTTGAAATGGACTCTGTGTTGTTTCCACACTGCTCATTTTACTGTGCATCACTGGTTGGAAATGAATAACTGATTATATGAAAATCGAGTCTTAAAAGTATAGAATTGCATAATGAATGAAATGTGTAACAACGCTGTTAGTGTGATTGGCCCTTTGGGAGGAAATTAAATTAAGTGGGTGACTTTAACAAGTCAGTAAATCTGGGATTGTACTTGCTGCTCTTTATTAACCCCATTAATCATTAGAACTAAACAAGGCTCTTAGACAGTCGAACAGTCTTTAAAACCAAGAGATTAAATCCAGCTGCTTTCTACTCGGTTGAAGAGCAGAGTGTCACTGAGCTTGTTCTGTGGTCCACTGTGAACTTGGCTTCACTACACTTCTTTACAGTCCTGTGACTTTTTTGCAGTTGACTGTTCTTCCTGTTTTTCCTAAGTCATGTTTGGTGTCTAACCTGTTTTAGGTTTGTATTTCTTTTTTGTCAATGCTTCCCTGTAGGCAGCCCATGTTATCCAGACTCCGATCCTGATGAGGTAAAAAAAGAAAAAGAAAAGAAAAATTCAGTGTCTCAACGCTGCAGAACCAGAATGTACTCATGATGTACCGATACAGTCTTTATTCTACCTGTTGTAATTAAGAACTGTGTGCAGATTAGCTCCATATAGCCTATTCATGCAGATCACTGTTGATGAGTGACAAGTACTTGAGTGAAGATTTTCACCATAATAGTTTTCCATATTGTCAAAAGATCACTGTAGAGAATAAATAATTCAGTTTCAGTTCAACTCATGTTATTTATATAGCGCATATTCACTACAAATACTCTCATATAACGTACATGTAATATACTTTTACAGTTGTAATGTAGTATTGGTTTGCATGTGATCATCACACTTTGAGTAACTGTGTTAATAGTAAATAGAAAAGCAACACTGCTTAATCAATATCACTGTATTGAAACTGTATTAGCCTGCCTATTTTAGAGGCTTTGGAGTTTGATTTTATTTTTTAAATCTACAAATGTATATCTATATATTTAGATTTTTTTAAAAATCTTGTAAGTACAGTATTAGGCAGAGAATACATGATGTATATACCACAGAGATGTACAAATATCCAAGGATATGTCTTTTGTTATTGTTTTTAATGATGTTCTTGGAGCAACACTGTGTGAATATGTATAAAGGGTTCCCTGTTTCGGTCTCTACCTCTTGATCTCACTGACTTTGAGTTATTTATCCCTTTTTAAATCCATGGAGATGAGAATAATTAAACAGCTGACTGTTTATTCAAGCTACTATGTTCATTTGCTTTATTGCCTCTGACATTTGAATCGAAGAGTTCCAAAGTGCTGCTCTCCAAGTATTTCCTGAGGGTTTTCACTCTGTGAGAGGAAGGGAGTAAAAGCCACAGTTTCCACCTCAACAGCTGGATTCAAAGTTCAGTATTGAGAATAGGATTTTATAGAAAATGACTGTCCTCTTTTTTTACATGTTTTGGTTTGCTGGGCTCATGTAGCTCCGAAAATGTTTGTTCATCTTTAATTGTTGAAGTTCTTTATGGGGGAATCTTTGGGACAGGTATGACTAGAGGTTTCCAGCAATTTGGTACCCTCTCAGGTGACACCCACATCGCTTCCAAAGTCCACTGGGAACGTTGGGTCAGTCAGCAAGGTGCAGATCCTTCTCAGGTCAGGAGCCATGTGCTGGATCTCCAAACCCAGATGAAAAAAGTAAAAACCACAAAACAATTGCCAAAACTAGCATGGCGCTATGGTGCATGTTATTGTCAGATTTACACTTCTAGCATTTAAATCAAGAAATAAAGGAATAAAAAATAGTAAATTGTAAATGTTGCTTGTATTTAATTTACCTTAAAAAAGGCCATAGTGTGGTCTACTGCACAAACGGACAAGTATGCAAACCATATATAACTTTTAATGAGGATAATACAGTGGTGATGGCTGGCAGCCGTCAATCATAAGGACTGTCAGCCCATAATTATGGATTTGGAATGAATAGTTAAGGTCAGAAGATAAAGGCTCTTAAGGCTTTATAAGTACATATGACCAAAAATATATCAAATATACCGCATTATGGAAAAGGTAAGTGAATAGCCATTACTAACCATGGAGGAAATGCTCCACTATCATGTAGCCAAATATCTATAAAAAACAGATTAGTACCTAGTCTTTTGTTCGTTTGCAAGTCTGTTTATGACAGTGATATAAATCATGTGATGTGAATTTATGATGGTCATATAGAAAAGTGGATCAGCAATTTGATCAACACCTCAGGAGGAAGGAGGTACTCGTCTGTTTCTATGCTAGCTATTTCAATACTTTTGTAAATGCCACTCTCTATGATCCCCAACTAGATGTGTTGCGTTCACAGACAAATTAGCTCGACTTGAACAAGTAGAAGCCATGGTTATAGTGGCAAAAAACAACTTCAGTTGCTTTGTTCTTTGTTCCAGTCCCTTACTTCCGACATCCGTCATGATGCCTTTAGTGATTAAATGTAGTTGCAAAGGGTCAATATCAGTGGACCTTTTTCACAAAAACTGGAAGCTGAGTCTACTGGTGCTGGGACACTTTCTGTTTTTATGAGTCCATGCAAGTAAAAGAAAAACTCTCTCTCTTTTTAACATCCTCATTTAATTTGCCAGCATTTTCTTTCACTGATTCGGAGGAAATTGCAGCGGCGAAATCACGCGGCAATAAACTTGAGAATCGATATAAGTGCTTCCATGAAGAATATCCACAGCTAAAAGGTAAGAAAAGACCTAGCTTAGCCAGCTAACTGCTACCTACAAAATATGAATGACATAAACATTGTAATAAAGAAGCCTAATTTAGTGTGTTAATTTATTTGGAATATTTGAGACGGACATGGTGTAAACTTTTAAACTACAGTTTGACATGCTGACATTTGTTTGCCATTACAACTTGTGGAAAACAGCACGGCAGGTGTTATGAGATGCTAGATGATGCTTCATGTTCAAACTATGCTTTACTTCTTTACTTTTTGTAACTGAGGGAAACTTTTCTCAGGAATGAACCCAGCTAGTGATGGTTAGTGCTTTCCCTTCCGGACCTATGTGAAAACCTTTAGTAGATTTCATCTCCTCTGTTTCATGTATTTTGCTATGCGTTTCTACGGGAAGTATTTTCTTTTTTACAATAATTAGACTTCAAATAAGACATTAATCACTAATTAACAACTATAGAACCATTGCAATCACAGTTTGATATTTGGTGTTTTAATCAGATATACCTTAAAAACAATTTGCAGTTCATTAAATATCTCATTTAAAAACTGTTTAGAAAGTTGTATTTACAGAAACATATTCATCTGGAAAATACTGTTGTAGACAATAAATATGACTTTTTAACAATGTCATCTCTTCTTTTCCACGACTCTGTTCTAGAAATAAAATACATAATTACAGTTGAAACCGGAAGTTTACATACATCAAATAAAAAGACACATATTCCTTTTTTCTCAGTCTGTAGTTAAGTCCGACTGTGGTATCAGCCATCAATCAATGCCACAATTATAAGAAAAACGTCTGCTTTCCCCAAGTTTGTATACATACACATGCACCATTACAGTTTTAATGTAAATTTCATCCAGTGTTTAAAAAAACCTTTCTGGGTTTTTCAATTGTTAAAAATCACTTAAAAACAAAGAAAAAAACTACATTTTAACATTTTAAAGCACTGTGGGAACCAACAAATAAGATGTTTGTTCAGATGTTTAAAAGGTTGTTGATCAGTTCACGCTTTATACAAATGAAGGATATAATGAGAATTGACATTGGTATTAATTATTTTTCTACTTTATCTTTTTCTACCGAATATGATATTAGAAAAAAAAAAGTAGATATGCTACTAAACGAGACAACTGTACTGCAATGATTCATCTAACGCCTTCTCCTGAACAGGCAAATTCCAAACATTACATTTACATCCTGACACATTGACTTCTGCTGACCCGTCCAGGTTCCTCCTCCAACCTCTGATCGCCTTTGGTCACGTCTTTTTCATCACAGAAAAACATCCTCTGTTCTCTCTGATAGCTGGAAAAACAACAGATAATTCACTCATACTATTTTTCAAATAATTAATATGGATTTCACAATGGTGCCAATAATACCACCAATCAACAAGAAAGGAGTAAAATATAAAACAGAATAATTGGTCAAAATAAATATGAGTCCTGAGCAAAGAAAACAAACACAAAAGGGCCAAAGGATAAGGAAAAAATTCTGACAAAATTAACTGAAAAAAATGAATAAAAAACTACACTTTGGAATAATTTGGGCTAATTTTAAACAAAGTTATAATTGCTGCTTGTAAAATAGACCAACTGTGATATGAGCCATAACATCATAATATTGCTTTAAACTAGACATCACTGATTTACGTGCTATCTAGCGCCTTTCAAAATAAAGAGATACCTAGTACTTAAATACCTAAAGGTGGATATGATTTATAGCTAAAATTGAGACGTGTACAGAAAGCTGGTGGAATGGAATTGAGAACATTTGAGCAAAGGTTCTTTTTACAGGTGTAAAATCTGTCAGTGGTCGACTTATTATGTTGCAGAGGTATCTCTGTTTTACTAGTCTTACTTGATCAGTTAACTTTAGATGAGCTGCCACTGGAGCTCTAACCGGCCTAAGGCCCTGGAGCTGAAACAAATATTTCAGCTACTGCTGACATACCTGTGGGTTTATGTTTCCAGAGTGATCAAGGTGGACTGTATCCCGATCATCCTGATTGCTCATTGTGTTGTTGCAGTTGAGAGAATATTCTTCATGGAACAAGAGAGGAGGCACTCCTAACTGACAGAGAGGAGAAATCCTAACTAAATATAGTAGTTGTTTAACAACATTTAATATTATTTTACCTACCTCTCTATAATATTTTCTTCCTTGTACAGACATAGACGTTAGTGTGACTTTGTCACCACTTTTTCTTATCAGTCTGACAATTTCCTCGTGTTCCAAGGACTCAACATGGTCACCATTAACAGCCAGCAGCAGTTCACCGTCCTCCATACCTGCTTCCTCTGCTGCACTCCCTACATCCACTTCCCTCAGTACATGAGCTGGCATTTTTAGATGAAGAACAGCAGGTGTTTATTGGACGGTGAAGTGTTTGAAGTCACTGACATGAATAATGTGCCATTTTTCTTTGTTTACCCAATCATAACTACGAAACAAAATTTTGCCAGCTTGTACTAAACAGTTTCAGTAAGCTTTGAAGTGATTACAGGAGTATATAAAAAAGAGTTGGCACCAAGCTGATGGAAGGCAAGCATGTCAAAACCAGAAAGCACCTAGAACATTTTTAGGTGAAATGTTATAAAGAGGGTTTCACTTTTGTATTTATAGCTTGAAAGTATTCTTATTATTTCTTTGGCAGCTTTCTGTAATGGTTGAGTCAAATCAGAATGACTGATGGAAAATGTGAGAAAAAAAATGGTAGTCTAAAAAAATCCTGATGTTATTTAATCAGCTGAATGTATAAGATCCTGTAAATGGATGAGTTCGTGTTAATCTCAGGGACAGATTGCAGGAGTGGATTGTTATTTCCTGTGTTACTCACCTATCTTTTGTGGGGGTTCCACTTTCTCTTGTCTTAGCAAAAAACCAAATCCATCAGGTCTTTTCAGCAAATGTAAGTTCTTAGCATAGTAGGGAAGGTTGTTACTTTCTGCCAGTGTAGGAAGGATGGGCATCCTCCGCCTGAGATAACAGGACTCACTGTCACTGTCAATAACCAGCAATGTCACCGAGTTCCCACTCTTCTTTACCTGATAACCAAACACACAATCTTAAAACAATCTTAGAAGACTCATAGTCAACCAATGAACCGTGTCAGATATTACTGAGGGCAGGATATACCTACAATTCTGTTCAGACTGGTGGTTGTGAGCTCTGACACAGAGACTCCATTGATCCAGACTAAAATGTCTCCAAAGTGGACACCGGCTTTCTCTGCTGGACCATCAGATACCGTGTTCACCATGTATCGACCCCTCTGACCTTCTGACACAACCACGCTGTTACCATGACGTTCACAAGAAATTGTTTGGTAAGTATGCTCTACTAATAACCCTAAGCAACACAATACCAAAAAAGTCAAGAAAAACCGATTAATATGATTTTTGGTTAAAAGTTATGTTAATAAAAATCTTACTGTAGGAAAATGGTAAACTTTTTCTGTTTCTGAATACAGAACACAATCATAAGGAAAGCAGTGTAATAAGCAAGAAACATTTAGCTCAACTTAAGACAAAGGGACAATGACTGACAAAAGAGAACTGAAATAAATACAATCGTCGCACCGTCTTAGAAGAACAGAGGTCACAAAGTGTGTTTGTTGTTATCTGAGGATGCCAACAAACACACAATTGTCAAAACATGAGTGGAAGTTACCAGTAATTGGTATGATAGTCATTCCCAGTCCATGATCTGGATGTCTGGTGATGTGACACAGTCTTGGGCGAGTCCACCTGTCTCCTTTGGTGGCTTTTGCGAGCTTTTGTATGTCTAAATCCATGACCACTGCCTGATAAGGCACAACAGGAAGAGTCAGAAAAGTGGAGAATGAAGGTTACACACTGTGCAGTGACAATAACTCGCTTATAATTACATAGTTTTTCCAATTCCAATTATGCTTTTGCTAAATGAAGTTAAATCAACCCTACTAAAGACTTAGTCAATCATACAGCTTAGTTGAAAACACATATTTACATACACTGTATGAAAGACACAATCTCACATCAATTTTTTTGTTGGTTTTCTTATGCTTTCAAAGACAAACTGAGAACAATGCAAACAAAATGCAAGAGTTCCTAATTTCACAACATTATTGTAATGTCCACAGATAATGATGTAAATGCTTGGATGTAGAGGACAGAAGGGAAAAAAGGGGGATGGGTGAGGGTCCCTCAGGTACAGGGCATCAGATTTAAACATTGTCAGATCCGTACAATGAGGATCTGACAAGTCACTCAACTAGTAGGACTTGTACAATATCTGTCTTTCCCAGTAATTTTCAAGTTTTGAAGAAGCGAAGGTGATTCTCGTCATGACATCATAAAACCTGTAGCTGATATCTATGGGTATCTAAACTGTGGGTTTCTGTAGCTGTACTGGTAGTTTTCCCAGATAAATTAGCATTCATCCATCTTCCCAACCTATCCAACTAAAGAAATAGTCAAATAAAAGTGTTAGTAACCTCCTGGAAGCACAACCTGTCAAATTTAGAACATTTTGAAAAGTTCCACCAATGTTCTGCTATGCTAAGAGACACTGAATGTATGCTCAAGTCTGTGGAGATGTAGTGGAGGGGCTGCGGTCCCTGCTGTGGTCAGAACAAGGGAAAATACAGCTGCAAACTTAAGTACTTTGTTGCTCTAAAGTTGTTGAAATAATGCAATAAATCTGTGTTACTGGAGACTTTTATAGCAGTCACTTCTCCCACTGACCTGTGTGAGAAGTGAGTGCTGCTGCAAACTCGTCCTGCTTCTTAAGAACTGTATTCAGTCTCACGTCATCCTGCAGCAAACTGACTATAGTCAGAGAAGATGTGGGCAATGTGGATACTGTGTTTACATGTGCAGGGCGCAGCTGCAAATGTTATATTTCTCTGCCCCTAAATGCATATCCAAATTAGCATAAATATCTGTAAAGGTCCCACTATGTCTCTGAATAACCATGGCAACGGCCTCTCATTGAGTCTGTTACAACTGCAGCTACCCAGATAACCAGTTTCTAGACAAAATGTAAGTCCTTTCTCCACATGCGAAACATTTATCTTTGGGCAAATAAGATAATTGCATTGCTGTTTCTGTTGTTTTCTTTTTCCCCATTTTTGAGTCCAGCTCAGGAACAATCTTCTTTGAGACTTTCACAATGTTCTTCTGATATTCTCATCCTTCTTCTCTGTCATTGTACTCTTTGAATAGTTGTTTGTGTTTTCCAACTTTGAAATCCTCATATTGCATTCTTTCATTTCCTCAGCATTAGCAGTGCCAAGCTTGCATTCATGGCCCTGCTCTGTCTCGTTTTTTTCTCTAATGTCTTTGAGTTTGTGTATCCACTCTCTTCTTCAAACTCATGATTGCTTCAAATATGGCCTTTAGGAGACCTGGCCTGTATCTCCTGCCCCAGATGACTTTACCATTGTTTTCACTCTGTGGCTTCATTAGAATAATTGGTTGCATAGAAACTTATGACTTTCTATGCAACCTGTGATGTTTTTGTCTTTTGGGACACAGCTTCATTAACTTGTTAGTATCCATTGGAGTTTGTTGGGTGAAATAACACACCCAACATCAGAGAGAAACTTGTGATAATTTATGGAGTTCTAGCCACAAGCGACTGTTCAGACCGCCGTCGTGGTCCAAGAAGCCGCTCTGTTGTCCATCACAGTTTGTGGAGATAGCTTGTGCACCAGATTTACAAGTGTACTACAAACATGCAACAAAGGTTCAAGACTTTTGTATGTAAAAGAAGAAAAGATTGTGTTAACATTTTTTATGAATCCATTTTGTTTTTCCAGCTCTAGTTTCACAGTAATCCAATCCACCAAGCTCTTTAACAGCTTATCATTAGCATGCAGTACCTGCTCATACTCTTCCCTCCGTAGCACCAGAAGAAACAAGTCTAAGCCACATGACTGGATCTTTCTCACAACCTGAGAAAGATGAAGGAAAATACATCAATTATGCACATTTTGTCTAACATACAGCCACACAGACAACAGAATGGAGAACATGACAGAATGACTACTCAGAGATCAGGACCTGCTGGCTGACTCAAATAATCAGCTAGTTTGGCCTAGTGGAGCCGTGCTGCTCCAAAAACACTAGAGCAAATATAACAATGATTAATCCCTGATTAATTCCTAACTCACATGTTGCAATGTGTCACCATAACATGATGACATGTCTTGACATGTATTTTGCTATTTATAAAAATCTAATTATCAGTCTGACAAATTATTTTCCACTACATGTTTTCACATAAAAAATGAGTTAATCGCTGTCTTAGTACTGTAACTTGTTCCTGCCAAAAGACAAGTCCTAAGAGTCCTGGAGCTATAACTTGAATAAAACTAATCCACACAGTATTTCCAGGTAGCTGTATGAAAAACAAACAATCAATAAACCAGACTAACAAATACAAACACAAAAAATGAAAACAACAACAGCAAACATCTACTTACAGAGAACATATCGGATATGGAGTTTTGCCTTCCATAATGACTCAACCCTCAACATGTGATCGATTCAAGTTCAAAGAGCCCTGAGATCTTTTCAGATAGGTTCTTCATCTTTTTCTGATTATCTATCTGTCCCTTTCTTTGATCGAGATGTGACAGGATGGCAACTGGAGGCCAAAGAAGAAAAGTGGTGTATATAGCAGCCCTGTCGCTTATCGTTCTTGGATAATATTGAGATTATCTCTCTCTCTCTGCCAACTCATCCATCTCCTGAGATTCAAAAATATTGGGACATTCCCATTTGAGTCAACACTAAGGATAAGTTCACAGAGACCCAGAGAATGGATGATAGACAGGGCTGAAGAACGCATACAAGTCAGGGCCTGTATTCTCAAAGAACCCTAGAGATGTTGTTTCAGGAAAATTCTAAGAATTTCTGGAATTCTAAGATTTTTCTTAGAATGTTGCCTCAGTAAGAGAAAATGTATTCACAAAGCACCTTGGTGCTCACACCATGACAAAATGTCAGAAGTAGTGAGGACTTTTAGTGAGCCTAAGAATGTCTGTAGCAGGAAAGATGGTGGAAACAAAAGTTCTGAAAAGATTTCTATACCATTTATTTCCCAGCATCACACTCTCCAAACTGCTATGGATTTTGTCTGCATATTATATAATATGTTGGATATATATTCCCCATCACCTGTGGGGCACACAAGTTTCTGGAGGTTTACCTTGAAAAAGTCCATGTTGCCCACATATGTCTCATTGACCTCCAGCAGTCGCTCTCCGCCTCTGAGGCCACTGTGCTCTGCAGGACTCCAAGGTTCCACCTCTCTAATTATGAAGCCATGGTTGTTCTGTTCCATGTGTAAGTGAAAGCCAAAGCTCTGACCCTCCACACGCTTCAGCTGACAGAGGCGGGGTACCATGCACAGGTCAGGTTCTGGACATACACCTGAATAAGTAACATTGCTCTCGCACTAAAATGTGATTAAAGAACAAAAAACACAACAACACTCACCTAAATCATCAGTGATGATCAGAGCTGGATTATCTATCCCCTCTTTTGGGTTGAAGGTAAAACTAAAATAAAAAATATATGATGAAATTGGGCCAGGTAAAACAACAGGTGTCACAAAAAATATCTTTTTAAATATTTTCAAATACTGGTAGAATTTATTGGTATATAATAATAAGCTCAACAATGTCCTAAAGAAGGCTGGTTTTATTCTGTGGACTAGTGTGAAACCCACTGTCCGCAGTGTTCCTCATTTTAAGTATTTTACATAAAAGGACGAAAATTATGGAGAACCCTGAGCATTCTGTGTACGGGACCATCACAGAAAAACAGAGTCTTCAGTCAGAGGCTTCTTCAGTCCGCCAGACTGCTTCAGGAGGACCTGACTACTCATCACCATCTTTTATCCCTTTATAAATGAAGTGATTAATTTCATTGATATTAAGGAAATTCTGTGCTGTTCATGCCCTGATGTCAGCAAGACTGAAGAAACCTTTTAGTTCAAAGGGAAATAAACACATCATAAAAATAAAATGGCACACAGTGATTTCTAAAAAGCACCAAGTGGCAGCAAATAAAGAGAGAACCTTCTGGAAGAAGGCAGCGGAAGCAGAGTTAAAATCATCCATCATGATTTTACCTGTCATACAGGAACTTCTCCAATACTCCTATCCTACATCTGTAAGAGAGGTACGCTGCCAAATATAATGGAAGTGAGTTTTTTCTATAAGAAACTCTTCCAGTACGAGTTTCTGTAAGACCTAAACGACTGCAGAGTCTCACAGCAGTACCAGTACAACACAAACAGGTCTCTGAACACAACGAAAAGGTTTTGAAAGAAACAACTTGAATGTCATTTTTATTTCTTGACAAAACAAATTACTGAAGCACTTATTTATGAAAATGTTTGAATTAACAGCAAAGTTAAGGAGGTTGAGGATAATTCAGAGAATAAATTGTGGACTTACCGTGGGCTGTCCATCACATCCTGCTGTCCTGGTGGAGAGTAGACACGACAATGAGACTCTGGTAAACAAGGAACAGTTTTTGACTGAGCCAAAGCACCTGGAACCAAACATAACACAGCCGTTTAGGAATAGCATTAATAATAAGCTTAAAAGCATTTTAATTTGTTTGTTATTTGTATTTACAACAGAAAGCATCATAAGACAAAAGTTAACCATATATCTGTCGACTGGCATATTACTGACCAAACATCTTTTGTCATCCAATCCTTATCAAACAATGACAGTAATTTAATGGTCATTACATATGGCTGAAATGTACGATGTAAAATTATGGTTGTACAAAATCTCTCAATACAATAACACTTGCTGGTGAACCTGACAAATTTGACAGGGAAACGTTGAATCATAAAATCACACCTCAGAATAAATTTGATACATACTTGGTAAGATGAAACCATAAACTATAGACACAATTTTAACCCATTTATTTTAAGAGTAGCATTTATGAAATCAAAATCTCTAAGCATTTGGTCTTATCTGTTCACTTGATGTAGTGTGTATTTTTCTTCCAAATATATCTAGAATTAATTTGATTTATTTTTTAATGGTACAAAATTTAGCAATATTGATAGTAAGCTGGATAGTAATCAATCATAAATTGGGTCTAAATTGACATTCACCATCCATATATTTTATTTTTCATTTTTCACTCATATTTTCAGAAATATACCCAAATATTTGATATCGTAAATCTCAGTCTAATGAGTGCATAACAATTCACAAACAAGAAGCTTTCGAAAAAATCTAAATAATTTTAAAGACCCCTTACAACCTAAATATTTACAAATATTTAGGTTGTAAATATTTACAACCTAAATATTTAGGTTGTAAGGGGGTCTGGTTTATAGTGGCATCTTTGGCTAATTGACTTATAAAGTAGCATTTAGCTACTTTATGGACATACACAGACATATAAATAAATAAGAATATCTTGTGATTACAATAGGTCTTTGCAGTGCATTTGTTGCTCGGGCCTAAATATCAAATTTTGATTTAAATAATGCCACACCATAAGACTTTAACCACTAGTGCTGGTACTAAAAATCAATGCAAAGCAAAACACTTCAGAGATAATACTGTATCTTCTACTATCTGTGATCAGTTTTGTAGCCTTAGCTGGTACTAGACTCGTATATTTTTATCAACTTGCCAAAAAGTCATAAAAATATTAGAAGAGGGTATTAGTGATTATTAAAACTAATATCTGCATAAATAGCACAAAGGCGATGCAAATCAGTTGAAGGAAGAAAGACGGAAAAGCCAGCTACCTTTAGAGGATGACATGGAGTTCTCTGTTTTCAGCGACTCATAAAGAGGAACTGTGAAGGGACAAAGTTCACAAAACACTCAGAATCAACAGGTGAGATAGTAACTCCTTTCTTCACAAATACTTAGGTTAAATATTGACCAACACTTTGAAAATGATTGTGAACTCAGCTGCATGATTGTGAATCCTGCAGCTTTCTATTTTTATTTTTACAGTACAGCTCAAAGATATCTTAAACCTAAAGTACACCTCACAATACAGTACTGATTATTGTACTCGATACACAAAGTATCCATCCAGACAGTTACTGAGTTAGTTAGTACTTGAATTAGTTAAACCAGTTCAGCAGTAAGAGCCAAATTAAGCTTATCACTCTAAAGAGCCACACACCAATTTCAAGATTAGCTTTATATCATGTTGCTGAAACAGCTTTTTTCTTAGTCTCCAAGGTTTTAGAGGGACACCTGACAGTATTTATATTTTACCAGTGTTGGCTATAACTACTCGAAGCAACTTTTTTACGTGTCAGTAAGACTAGAACAATGATTAGACAACTTGTTTAAGCGCAGCAAAAACTCCTACATATCCCTACAGAAAACATTTGAGCTCTGCCAGACTGGGGGATATGTTAGTGTCTCCTGCAGGACATTTTTTAAACATGTAGGACAGTTTACTCACATGGCTCATATTTGTATCCATTTAATAGAGGGTAGTGTGGTGACTGCTAACATTTGAATATTTTACTTTAAACATCACTGGCCCCCATTTAACCCTCTTCAAAGTTTGGTATTTGAAAAACTAAAATTTAAATAGTGCATTTTTTTCCAACACTGACTCCAGATTTGGTTAAGAAACTAAACACATGAACGTTTAGTTTTAACCCATTCCATTGTGGCCTGGTGCTTGTCCTGCTGGAGGCTGAAGCTCCGCCCCTCTCCAGTCCTTTTCACTCCAATAGGCTTTCTTCACACATTGCTCTGTACTTGGCTCCATTCATCTTCTCACCAACTCTGACCATCTTCCCATGTCCCTGTTGAAGAGAAGCACTCCCACAGCATGATGCTGCCACCATCATATTCAACAGTGGGGATGGTGTGTTCATTGTGATCAGTCATGTGCAGTGTTAGTTCTCCGTCACAAGTAGCGTTTTGCATATTTGACCAAAAAGTGCAATTTTGTTCTGTTCTGACCAGTGTCCAACACGGCTTCTGGCAAACTGCTAACTGCACTTCTTACAGGTTTCTTTTAACTATGACATTCTCTTCTTGCCACTCTTCCACAATGACCACATTTGTGCAGTGATGACTAATAGTTGTCCTGTGGACAGATTCCCCCACCTGAGCTGTGGATTTCTGCACGAAATGAGAAATGCAGAGAACCAAACCTGGAGAAGCAGCATTCAGCTTCTATGCAACACAAATCTGGAAGAAGCTTCAAAACAACGCTGCTGTTTTGCAGAGTTCCTTTAAATCCAGGCTGAAAACCCTCCTGCTTAGATGTCTTTTATTAGCACCAAGAGAAACATTATTCTGAATATTTCATGTGTGTAGTTCATGATAGCATTTAACAAAATGTAGTGTTTTTTCTTTGTTTCATAATGGATGACTGTTTATGAACTGTCTTGTTGCTGAAATGTGCAATACAAATAAACTTGAGTTGGTCAGATCAGTTTATTGATGTGACAAATTAACAATAAATGTGTCAAGGCACTTCAAAAATAAAAAGTCAATTCAATCCAACAATACCTACATAAAGTCTATCACACACATTCCAATTATATCCCAGAAATCAAACCATAAAGTGAATTTCAGTTCATTATTCAATAACATTAGACCCATTAAAGCACCAATAGTTTAAAAATCATAGAATTATTTCTCATTTTACTATTTAAATCTGACCTTTAACATCAAAACTAAACAACCAGACAGTGAACTGACATATGAAAGCTCCTGAGCTCTAGTTCTTCTATATCACTGATTTTCTCACTTAAAAATGTTCATAAAAATGTACAGAAATCAAACTAACTAAAGCTTAATTTACATAAAACAATTCTTGTCATTTACAGCTCAATTATAAACAGTTCTTTAAGTTGAAGTATAAGCTGTCTTCTAGCTGTTAAATAAATCCTGTGTATATGGTAAAACTGGATCATCCGCTGATTATAAGTATGAACGGCAGTATGACGTAATATCGACTTTATTGTAACATTACAATAAAGTAATGTTACAATACTTTATTGTAACATTACTATAACTGCTGCATTATAACTAATGCAGCAGTTATAATGCTGCATTATAACCCTATGTTATAATGTTATTCTCTCATCAGAAACATACATTGAGTGCTTTGATTCTTTCATGCATGTTTGAGTAATCCTTTAAATCAAGAGTTCAGGAGTGACTAAACTCTCTGAGGTGAGCCTCACAGACAGCTCCTCCTGCTGCAAACACCTGGTGGAGCTGCACATCTACAGAGCTCATACATGTTACTTCATAGCGCAATGCTGGTAAAACATTGTTAAAGGCCAAATGGAGAAATGTGTCAACGTGCTGAAGGCCCAGTGTTAGAAAGAGATGGAAGTCTTAAATAGAGTCATTTAACACAAATGAAGGTAACAGTCACTTCATTGTGATATAAATTGACATTATGTGCATGGTAAATATATAATAGTGCCCCTTTAAACTAAAAAAAATATACAGATGCTAATATGCTCTCTTGAATCCTCTTGAGGTTTACTTGGTCTTGGAAGAAGAGTCCTTCTCTAAACGTTGTAAAGTTGCCTGGACTTTTTTCTGCACTTTGCGAAAGTGAAGCCTCCTCCAGAAGCTCGTTTGCTTCTCACGTCCCCACTCCAGGTCCCGGAGGAAAACCTTTAGAGAAGAAGGAGAGGAAAAGCATT